TATTAATTCGATATTTTATTTGTTTAGAAAAAGTATTTTTGAATGTGAAAAGTGAATTCACAATCAAAGGCAAACAGTCATAATATTGATAAATAATGTATATGATAATAACTACAAATGTAATAATAACAAATAATGAATGATGATATAACAACCTAACGTATTTCCAAGTCTAGACGAATGCTGAGAAGAAAGACCAGCTAAAGCACCAACACAACATAATGATGACCCCAAATACGTCAACGAATGTATTTCAGGATAACCATGTTGAAATCCATATGCGTACGCACCCAAAAACACACCAGCTGGTATCGAATACAGATAATTGTATTCTGGTGGATCAGCTGAAACGATTTGATGTTTCATTCAACTGACCGATGAATGCTAATTAACCAAATTTGAATCATATCTATCTCATCATTCATTGAGTGATAGTAACTAAAAAATTACGTTCATAATATTTGTTTTTTAACTCATTAAAGCAATTTCTGAGTGCGATGATATGCAAAACGAAGAGAATATGATAAAATAAACGATCACCAACTCGGTCTTCTAAACATATCCAACATTCGCTTCGTAATCAAAAAACCACCCCCGATATTAATCGCGGATAAGAATGCAGCAGATGCAGCCAATGTCTGAGATGGAGTGGTCGGGTATAAGCCACCACCCATAACACACAACGCTGCGGCTGCGGTAGTGCCCGAGATTGCGTTTGTCACTGACATCAGCGGAGAATGCAACGATGGCGTTACACCCCACACCGTATGATAACCTTCAACAATTCGATCAACTTCCGTCGTTAATTTTTACCGATAACGACAACTTTTCAATTGATAGTGAGTTACAAACTCAATTGCATTTTTTTGAATGTATAAAAAGATATTCATAAAATGTGACATATAAAACTGTTCACTGTTGATTTTGGCTGTGTCAGTGAGAATTATCAGAAAGTTTATATGAAATGGTGATAAGTGCGATTGAGATCAGAATTGAGAGAAAGAAGGAAATGAATGAACGGATAAGCATCATACCAACTATTCCAGCTAAACCAAAAGTGGTTAACATTT